CAGATTTTCAATTTGCTGGTGTAGCGTGCATCCCGTGCAAACAACGGCGTATTCGGACAACATCCGGGCACCTCGGTGCCTCTTCCTCCGCGCCCACGTCACCGATCATTTATCTCCGTAATATCAGAAAAGTGGCTGGAATAAATGCCGCGGCCGCGTTTATTAGACGGGACGGACTATCGATCTTAGCGTGTCCCCGTGGGCGGCCGATCAATTTTCCGGGATTCTTCCGCTTAATCTTCTCGCGTTTTGTTAAACGTATTAAAATGGAATTTCAATTTCGCGCAAGCTCGGCGCAGGTCACACAGGTTGGTTATGGTCGGCGGGCATACACGGCCCCGTGAGTTTTAATTACTTTTGTCTCGCGCTTACAGTTGCATTTGGGACTCGCGTTTCGAGACTCGGTTTTTTGGCCGGAATCGACTTTCCGTCTTGTCTCGCGACAGGATAAATCGAAGAGGCTTTTTCGAGGCCCCGCGAGCGCCCAACATGCATTTAACGAGCGTTAAATGAGTATTCCATTGCACGTCGCGCGAATAATAGCCCGGAAAACGCTTTACTTTTCGCCGGACACTTTCATTAAATTCGACGATTAAATTCGAGGTAGTACAAAGGGCACCATTTCGCAACCACGTCACTATATCATGAATGTTATATTTCGCGCATAAAAGTCCAGATTTCCCAATAGGAAAAGGCAGAAGGCTAATTTTCAAGAGGAAACGTCGTTTACGTGCCGCGGACGTTCAAAGACCTTTGTCGGGCTAATTTCCAATTTCATGAGCGGCAACTGTCTTATAAGGAATTTTTCAGAGATAGAACGCCAGATAGACTTTATACGTCGAGAAACATTTTGCTCTTTTTTTTGTTTAATTTATACGTAACTAAAATTCTAAATTCTTGAATAAATGCGCATGAAATATCTTCGACGTTTATTGTGACAAAATTATGCGTTCTTCTCTTTCTCTCTCTCTCTCTCTCTCTCTCTTTCTTTCTCGGTCTCGGAGAGAGGTTGACGTAACGTCATCTCTTTTGCGAGAGATCGCGGTTTAAAAGCGCACTATCAGCACTAGTCGGTCGTGAAAGTCCGCAATAAGTGGCCCGGATTAATTAAGACTGGCGCAAACGCGACCCAACATAATCGGCCGACGTTAACTCTGTGCCTTAATTCCGGGGGCCGTAAACTGTTCTTCAGCGTCGTGAGGGTAATGCGAAATACGTGACGTCGTTGATCACGCCGCTTCGTAGATTTCGTCTCGGTTCTCCCCAATTCCGCGCCCTCTTCGACCATCCAGAAACGAATTTTGCAGCTGACGCCTGGATTAAGGACCCGAACGTATGAAAAACTCCTTGCACTTAACGAGTGTAATTTCGACGTTGACCTCGGCACGCTTACGGGTCCGCGTATATATATATGTTTGGATAACGGATTAATTCATAACCCACACTGCTACTCGATTAGTTTTCCGATAAAGCGATTAATCCCGTCGCGAGTGATATATGTACCGCGATTATCAATGTCTGAGACCTTACTTCTAATAAAATCTCTTTTCGTAAGAATAGTCGTTCAATAATCGATCCTCTCATTTGTATTAAATACTTTTTCAAAAATAATAATCGCGCCAATACCGATTATTTCCATTTCGACTTATACAATAGTCGCTTCCGCGTAAAATTGATATAGCTTGTCTACTTTAGATTTAAATTCGACATCAGAGCGTTGAGCGGGACATTTTGATGAATAAAAAAAGTGTACAGACGGAGTCATTGATGTCTTCCTATTTTTATAGTATACTGTATATAGTATACGTAAAAATTCCCATTTTTATATAGTATATTTACGTATACTATATAAAAATAGGAAGGTATTAATGACCCCGTCTGTACAGGAAATGTTATTCTTGGGAAAAATTGCTGATATTTCAAGAGAGTCGACTGGAAATAATCGATACCCGTTTCAAAAAATGGAGACACGCAACGTTGTGTAAAATTGAAAATATGCATAAATGCAGAATGTAAAACTTTAAAATTATGTTACATTTTAATGTAA